TGTGATCAAGGTTCCTTGATCCGCTGGAGCGAGATTCAGGGTGACTGGCTCAGCCCTGCTGCTAGAACGTGCTGATGCCCAGTGTGGCGTCTCTGCTTGCTGCTCGCTCACAGGCCGGCTGAGGGATCATCCCCACCTCCAGGGGTCCCCGGCAACCTTTAATCTCCAAGGCTGGGGCTTCAGTGCAGTGGGCAGGGTGCTTGCCTTGCACCTTGGGTTCGATCCCTGGCATCCCAGGTGGTTCCCTGGGCCCCACCGGGAGTGATTCCTGAGCGCAGAGCCAGGAGTAACCTCTGAGCACTGCCGGGTGTGGCCTCCAAACCAAACCAAAACCAATTTTAGGCATCCTGTTAGTCCTGAGAGTCCAGTTTCAAGTTTTCCCAGAGTCTGAAGCATCCATGTCCTTCTCCTGAGCCCCAGGCCTGGGGGTCGGCACCTGAGAGTCCAGTTTCAAGTTTTCCCAGAGTCTGAAGCATCCATGTCCTTCTCCTGAGCCCCAGGCCTGGGGGTCGGCACAGGGGGTGGCTGAGCTGGCCGCTCTGTGTTTCCTGGTGCTGGGGAAGCTTTTCTGGGAGCACTGGTGGCCGAGCCTGGTGCCTGCTGGAGTGATGGAGAAACTTATTTCGAAGTAGAGAGTCTAGAGCGATAGTACAGTGGGGACGGCCTTGTACTGGTCCCCAAGCACCGCCAGGAGTGATTCCTGAGTGAGGAGCCAGGCGTCAGCCCTGAGCACTGCCTGGTGTGGCCTCAAAAGCAATAAAATAAATTAGAGGTTCCACGGGGTTGGCACTTGGGGTTGAATTTGGGGCCTTGCCTGTCTGCCCCTTTGATTGTCTCCCCACCTGTTCACTTTTTAGGGGCCACATGGGTGGGACGGGGTATGGGACTTGGGGCCCCCTCATGAGACCCCCACATATGCCCTGAGTGCTTGAAGGGGGTGCAGACCACTGTGTGCCCTGCAGTTAGGATCTTTGGAACTTTCTGGATAGAAAGGCATCCCGGGAACGCTTGAGGTTGGGAGCTGTTGGGAGCATCGGGGCGGTGACTGAGTCTGGCCTCCTGACCAGCTACCGCGGTCCCTTGCGGGGGTCCAGCAGGTGGTGTCTCCATGTGGGGACATCTGGGGCAGCGGGGAGCGCCTTTGTCCCAGGGGTTTTTTATGTGATTTTTTGCTTTAGCCTTGGCTTAGTCCGGCCTCTGAGTGAGCTCTGACCACCCCAAAGCGGGGAGAAATGAAGGTCTAGGGGCTGAGGTACAGCGGGGAGGGTTCTGGCCTGGCACGCAGCTCACCGAGGTTTGATCCCCGTCTCCCCAGCGGGTCCCTGAGCCCCTCCAGGAGTGATCCCTGAGTGCAGAGCCAGGATCTGAGTGCAGAGCCAGGAGTCATCCTTGAGCACAGCCAGGCGTGGTTCTAAAAATAGGAAAAGGAATACTCAGAGCAGATGGAGGAGGGTCCAGTGGAACGAGCCTGGCGTGCCCCGGGCCCTGGTAGATGTGACCCCCTCAACCCCGGGGACTGCTGCAACAGAAAGAGTAAAACGAGCCAGTTTCTGATCCGAGATTCCGAGCAACACGCAGATTATCAGCCCGCGGGCCGCGCCCTGCAGCCTCGCTCCTGTGCCGTGGGACAGGTGAGGGGATAAAATAGAAAGAGGGACGCCTGGCGTGGACCCTGGAGGCAGCGACTGTCCCTGTCTGTACCCGCTCACTGGGGAGGGACTCTGCCAGGTCACCCTCCTTGGCTTCAGCAGAGACTGCGCACTGCGTCCTTGGGGCTTAGGGCCTGTGTCCTGGCTGTGTCATCGGACACTCTCCTGGGTGCCACCACTGTCCCCAGCGGTCAGCAACCCTGCGTGTTGGTGCCTCCCGTGAGCATGTACACATGCATATATACATGGACATACTTGTGCAGACACATACACTGACACGTGCACACAGGGACACATATACACACGTACACACATATACAGACACAATCTGGCACATGCATACAGACATACATGTACTTACATATATGTATACATACATTCTGGCACATGCACAGAGACATACACACGTGTACTTACATATATAGACACATTTTGGCACATGCACACAGAGGCACTTAGACACACATGTACTTACATACACGTATATGCACACACACGGACATATCACATATGCACTTACTGAGAGACACATATATCTATGCATGTCCACACAGATACAGGCACATATGCACACAGACTTACAAACACACAGCCACACACACACATACACATGCACAGGGACCGGCCATGTCATGTCACATGTCCAGCAGTGAAAGAGGGACAGGACTGTGCTATCAATCTGCCTGCCCTTGCTAGTGCCAGGTGTCCTGGGGGACTCACACTAAGGGCTGCCAGCTCCACCCCCCGGAACACCACTGAGCCTGGACAAGTGTGACCCTCTAAACATGAACTGAAACAGCCTCCCTGCAGCTGTGGGCTTTGGTGCCTGTGGGTGTTGACTTTTTGGGGGCAGCCACCCCCTGTGGCTACCTGGGGCAGCCCAGGAGCGCTCAGACACTGCTTTAGGCTGCAGCCAAAGCCCCCCTCCCTTCCCCTCGCTGCCTGGGGGGGTCCTCACACTTGCCCAGAGCGCAGGAGGGACCATCCCACCTGGCTGTGGCGCTGGGGACCACCCTGGACCCCAGGCAGAGCCGGCCCTGTGCCTACAAGGTGAGGGGCTTGCCCACTGGGCTCTCCCGCTAAGCCATCTGTGAGGCGTCAATCAAGGAAAGGTCCAGAAGCATGGCCTCACTCAGCACTGAAGTGGGGGCCCCTGGTGGGGACCCACTCATCCTTCTTGGGGTTTTGAATCACCCGCACAGGGCTTATACTCCTGGCTCTGTGCTCAGGGATCACTCCTGACCTCTATGCATAGTGCGGGGGATGGAGCCCAGGTTGGCGGCTTGCCAGGCGAGCCCTTTACCCACTGTTCTGCTTCTGGGTCCCCCCCCCCCCCCCCCGAGGTGAGGCATGTGATGTGCCCGTGGTACTGTATCACTGTATGTGGCTCCTTGAGCACTGTCAGGTGTGGTGCCCCACCCAGCCCCCCAATAATAAAATACACGTGAAAATTAAGATTTGTGTATTTTACATACAAATGCAATTTGCGAATTTAACTTGTGTAAAATTGAATTCAAAAATTAAAAGTTGGGCCTCCTGTAAATGAAAGAATGAAAACACAGAAACACATTTCAAGAGGGACTGGGGTGGGGGTGGGCGCTGAGAGAGGCCAGAGCACAGAGCAGGAAGGACCCCTGCAGGAACTCCCCCACGAAGAGCTTCATGCAATCTTGTCCAAGCTGCCCCAACAAAAAGCACAAACCTGCTTTAACTTAGAAAAGACTTAGAGAAGCTGCTTCCCGGCCCGTGGGCCAGATCCCTCAGGCTCCGTCTGCAGGCGGGAAGGCCAGGAATTTTGGAAATAACTACCCTTTCTTCATTTTCAGGGGTGGAAACCTCAAACTTCCTGTTTGGAAAGTGGGGGCGGCCCCGGGGTTGTTTTTGGTGATGAGAAGGGCGGTTTTGGGGCTCTGGGTATGTGCTGCCCTCTGGTGTTCGTTGGTGGTTTTGTGGCCACTGCTTCTGAAGTCCCGGGGCCATGAGGGGGGAGAGAGAGCTTCTCAGGGTGTTTGGTCCTGGTGAAGATCCCACACCTGACGTTTGTCTTCCTTTGGTTGTTCTGATTCAGTTCCACGATGTAAAGCCTCCAGGCACATAAGAGATTCCTTGGGATCTGCTCAAACCGGGATCCCCCTGCCTCTGCTTTCCAGAGGCTTCCTGGAGGAGGTGGTTGGCTTTCTCATTCCAGACCTTGAAATTCGGAATTAAATGCTGGGGTGAGGGGAGAGAGAGAGCCAAAGCCTTTCGCTTAGCATTGCCCGTGTTCCTCGGTGCATGTGTGATTTGGGAAACGCCGACTTAGCCTCCCTCCTGGCCGAGGGAGAGGGTTCGGGGAATGGAGCCTGTGGGGTGCTGGGGCTGGAACCTGGGTTGACTGCGTGCACAGAGTATCCTGGCCACTGTATCCTCCCCCCACAGTGGACAGTGACTTTGTAGCAATCAAAGCCCGAGTCGGAATCCCGGACACGGGAACCATCAACATTATTGGACTCCACAGAACCTCAGTCACTAAAATCACGATCACGGTCATCCTGTTGTTCCTCGATTGCCTCGAGTAGGCACCAGTAATGTCTCCTTCGCCCTAGCCCTGAGATTTTAAAAAGTGCCATATTCAAGCTCTTTCAGGGTTAGGAGAATGAGACCCATCATTGTTACTGGTATTTGGCATATTGGGTATACCACGGGGAGTTTGCCAGACTCTGCCGTGTGGGCAGGTTACATTCGGTAGCCTGTCAGGTTGTCCAAAGTAAGAATGAGATAATAAGATGTCGCGCGGCCGCAAATGCAGCCGTGTGCTTCCAGGAGCTGGGTTTTATAGGCTCTGGGTCTTTGCTGTTGATGGGATTACACGGTGCTGGCAGGGGCTGGGAGTAGTTGGTGGGTTTGACCCCTACCTACTGGAAGATGGAGGATCTGGGTGGAGGATGCTCAGCCCCGATCCGAGCAGGCTTGGAGATCTCAGCCCTGGGACCCACATGCCTTTGTTTCTCTGCTGGTACCTTCATGCGTGTGGAGAGTGGTCTCAGCATGCTTGTGGCTGGTTCTGGAGGTCTTCTGCTGCCGGGGCTCTGCTCGGGGTGGGGAGGGAAACTCAACCTGCCCCCTTCCAAGGTGAGGACAGCCAGGCGTGGGGGCAGGAGACTCTGCCGTCACTAAAATGAAGCATAAAAATGGGTGCCCCCCGAAGGGCTCGTCCTAGAATCCGTGCAAGCAGTTCTCTGCTTACTGGAACTTTGCTCCTCATCCCCTCAGGCCCCGGGAAAGAAGAGGGGCTGGCCGAGTTTCCTGGGTCCCGGGCCCTCCAAGAGCTCTGGGCATCTGTCTTAGGTTGCAATCCATCTGTCCCCGCAGGAACGGCAGGAGCATGGCCAGCGCGCTGTCCCGGCGTCTGGGCAAACGGTCCCTGCTGGGCGCCCGGGTGCTGGGCCCCCTTGGAGTTGCACCCTCCCTGGAGCCACAGGTCGAAGTGCCGGAGGAGGCAGCCACCACCAAGGACGCGCCCTGCCCCGAGCAGCCCCAGGAGGCCCTGCAGGCTGCCAGCCCTGCAGGGCTGCCCTCGACGGCCTTCCAGCCTGGGCAGAAGGTAGGTGGGAGGCTCGACTGTCCCATGTGTGGGGACTGACTGGGACACAGACCCTCTCCCATTGCAGCCGGCTCCTGAGACAGCCAGAGAAGGAACTGCTGCCACTGACCTGAAGTGGCCGGCCGCTCAGGTCTGGACCCGGGTTCTCCTGGAAGCTGTGGAAGCTGGAGGCTGGTGATGTTTTGTCTGCCTCAGTCTACAGCTTCTGCCGGGCAGATGCCCCTGGGAATCTTTCTCTCCCCCAACACAGGTTTCCAGTGGCCCCCTCTCCTGGCACAGCCCCCTCCAGCCCCTTCAAGGGCCTACAGGGAGGTCCCTGCCATGTGTGGTCATCTAGGGCGGCTGTCCAATCCCTGCATCGAACGCTGTCAGCGGGAAGGTTGGGATTTGAGGGTACCTGGGGACAGCATGCAGATAGATGGGGCCTTTTTTTTTCCTTCTGATCATCCAGCTCTCTGCTTGTGTGGCTGAGTTTTATTTTTTTTGGGGGGGTGGGGAATATCTTACTACTCCTGTCTTGGGGGTCCTTCTGTTGCCTTTTATTGACTTGTTTGCTTTTTTTTTTTTTTTTCTGGGTCAAACTGGGCGATGCAGAGGGGTTACTCCTGGCTCATGCACTCAGGAATCACTCCTGGCGGTGCTCAGGGGAGCGTATGGGTTGGTGGGAATCGAACCGAACCTGAGTCGGCCACATGCAAACACCTTACCTGCTGTGCTGTCGCTCCAGCCCCGACTTGTTTGCTTTTTTAAAAAAATTTTTTTTTTTGCGCCTCCCAGCTGGTCTTGGAGCCACTCCTGGGGATTTGAGGCGCAGTAGTGTGGGCCCGATGGTGAGGTGCTGGGAACCCCCAGGAAAGCAAGGCGGGGGCTGGGGACCTCCCGCATGCCATGCACCCCCATTTCATGCACTCTCCGGCCTTGTCACAGTCTGTCTGAAGCGGGTCCAGACCCCCGTATCAGCAGAAGAGAAATCCCGGGAGAGGGCAGGTCTGCTCGGCACTCCTTGGGGGCCACGGGGGGGTGGCTGGGGCTTCCCGCAACCGTGTGTTGGGAGAGGTGGGGGCCCCAGGGGTAGCGGGCGAGGTGCATCTCTGACCATCGGTCTCTGCCCCCAGGTGGCTGTGTGGCACGGGGCCCCAGGGCTGCCGGAGCACAGCTGGGCAGAGGAGCCAGTGACCGCAGGTCTGCCGGAGCGGAGGCCGCTGGGGCGTGGCCGTGCCCAGGAGGTGCGGGCAGCTGAGGCACAGGCCCCCCTGGAGCCGAGCCCCCAGACCCCCGTCTACAGACCCGTGTCCAGGAACATCGACGTCCCAAAGAGGTGCGGGGCGCGGCCTATGGGGGCGCTGGGGGTGCTGGCTGGGCAGGGCGGGCAGCAGAGAGGTCCCAGATATCCAGGGCAGTGCTTGCTGTCCTGGAACTCAGTTAGAGCCCTGGGGTTTGGCCGAGGATGGTTTTATTTTGAGGGGGGAGGGGGTGTGCCTTAGTGCCATGCCTGGTGGTGCTCAGGCCTTAACTCCCAGCTCTATGCTCAGGGGTCACTCCTGGTCGGGCTCAGGGGACCCTGTGCTATGGCGGGGATCCAACCCGGTTGGCCGCTTGCATGGCCGGGCTGTGTTCTCTCCGGCTGTTTGTGATTAGTTTCTGTTGCTGCTGTTGTGGGCCTCTCCTGGGGGTTCTCTGGGGACCGGGTTGTGTGGGAGCATCCATGCCCCGGGACTGTCAACTCTGCGCTGCTCTTCCCTGCTCCACTCCCAAGTGATGCCAGGGCTCCGCTCATCACTCACCCAGGGTACACGCAAACCGGAAGGGAGTGTCATCGGCCTGTGAGATGCGGGGAAACTGATTTCCCTGGGGAGTGGGCTGAGGTTTGGGGTGTCTCAGTCACTGAATTCCAGATGGATGGCCAGCGTCTGCTGCCCTCAGCCACAGCCGGCCCTGGGGCCAGGCAGGGGGCGTGTCAGTAACACTTCATCAGGGGACACTAGGATCGAAATTTTGAAGTTTTGTTTTAGGTATTTTTTCTTTTCTTTTTTCTTTGTCTTTTTGGGTCACACTTGGCAATGTTCAGGGATTCCTCCTGATTCTGCACACAGGAATTACTGCTGGCAGTGCTCAGGGGACCATATGGGATGCAGGAGATCGAACCCGGGTTGGCCACGTGGAATGCCCTCCCCACTGCCTGGATTTCAGGATTTAAAAAAAAAACTATTATTAATTTTGTTTGTTGTTTGGGGCTACACCTGGTGGTCTTGGGGGACCCAGCGGTGTTGGGGGGCCAGACCCAAGCTGGCCCTGAGCCAGGCCTGCTTACACACTGCTGTTTCTGCTGCTTCATATTTGGTTTTTATTTTATTTTTTTGCTTTTTGGGTCACACCTGGTGATGCACAGGGGTTACTCCTGGCTCTGCACTCAGGAATTACTCCTGGAGGTGCTCAGGGGACCATATGGGATGCTGGGAATTGAACCCGGGTTGGCCGCATGCAAGGCAAATGCCCTACCCGCTGTGCTATTGTTCCAGCCCCGGAACTGGCAGGTTTTGAACAGAGCATCCCCCAAGCACGTGTCCCTCTGTCTGTGTCTCTCCTCCACATGCATTGTTCTGAGATGCTGAGCCGGGCTCATGCAGGGTCCACGCTCATCACACGTGGACGCACCACCAGCCCACCTGTGGCCAAGACCATGTCTGTCCCTGTATTCCATGGACTGACAGAGAATTTGCTTTCGACATGGGAAGGAAAGGGCTAGGATACCACGCCAGCCACGGACGTGTTCCTGGGTTTCATGGATAACCCAGCTGGTCTCGCTGCTCCCAGTCCGGTGGCAGAGTGAAGCGGGTCAGGACCTTCGAGCACATGTGCTGCTGCTCAGGTGTAGACCAGCCTCTGGGAGTCCTCTCAGCTCCTCCTGCTGGCGTGTTCGTGAGACGGCCACTGAAGTCTTGCTTCCCAAGAATGCGACTATGGGTTTTGTGTGCATGTGTGTGTGTGTGTGTTTGTGTGTTTGTGTGTGGTGGGGGGGTGCTGGGGACCCAGCCCAGGACCTCACATATCAAGGTTTGTGCTTTCGGTCTGAGGTGAGAGCGACAGCTGGGTGGGCTGAGTGTAGGGTCTGCTCGCGGGGCCTGGTGTAGACCCCCGAGCTTTGTCAGGAGTGACCTCTGAGCACTGACCCAAGAGTAGCCCCAGAGCCCCAGTGGGTGTGACCCGAGCCTCCTACCCCAGCAAAATAAATCTGTGAAATTTTATGGAGCCCTGAGGTTTGTGTCGGGAGATTGGTTTCCGTGCTCCCGACTTTCTGTTCATTGCTTCGTCCAAACTCGATGCTTGACGTGGAGAGTGTCATTGTCTCAGGGAGGGGAGGGCCCTGAGATGGATAGTCGCTTTGTTAAATAGGAGACGGGAGAGGTGGAAGCACAGGCCAGCCCCCCTGGAACCCCAGTTGGTTCCCTGAGTCCACCAGGAGTAGGCCCTGAGCACCTCCGGGTGAGGCCAAGAAAACAAAACAACAGCAACAACAACAAAAAGAGCAGGAAGATGAAGATTAGGGGTCTAGCCAAGAAGCCAGGTATCAGACCTACGTTGGAAGGATAGCACAGTGCGTAAAGTGCTCGCCTTCTACTAGGAAGCGGCTTACTCTAGGCGACCTGGGTTCGATCCCTGGCACCCCATATATGGTCCTTGAATCCACTTGAGCGCAGAGCCAGGAGTAAACCCTCAGCACAGCTGGGTGTGGCCCCAAACCAAAACACAAACGGGAAGGTGGGTTTTGTACTTTCAGCAATGGGATGTAGGTGAATTAGGGGTGAGGGGGGCAGCCTGGGGTGTCAGCTGTGTCCACCTGCCCCAGCTGCAGGAACCGGGCGGAGCTTTGGCGCAGGGAGTGCAGGCGACAGCCTGGCAGGCAGTGGGGTGTGGGGGGTGGCGGGGAGGCCAGGAGCTCACGCGGCCTCTTGGCTTAACACAGGAAGTCGGACGCAGTGGAGATGGACGAGATGATGGCGGCCATGGTGCTGACCTCCCTGTCCTGCAGCCCCGTGCTGCAGAGCCCCCCGGGCGCCGAGGCCAGCTTCTCAGGTGAGGAGGGGGACCCCGGGCGACGGGGCTGCTGGGCCATCACTGCCTCAGTTTCCCCTGGAGGTGGGGAGCCCTCGGTGCACCCTGGAGGTGGGGAGCAGGGCTGTGGGCTGCTCCAGGAGGAGTGAGCCAGGCCTCGGGGAGCATGTGCGGGTCGCAGGGGGAGAAGCCTAAGGAGGCTTGTCCCCACGCCCCAGACAGATGGGCCCCCCAGTGTGGGCCCCCCAAGTCAGCACCCCATTGCTTCGTACGCCTGCGGCAGCATCAGAATGAGGCCTGGAAGTGTCCTCAGGGTGGGCATCTGCGTCCGCCCTGTGTGTGGGGGAGTCCCGCTCTCAGCCCCCAGTTACACCTGTATATACACACACACAACTATACCACACACAGTGTACCACAGACACTTGTATCACACACCTATACAGTACACAGATACACAACTGTACTATATACACACACCTGTGTCACATACACACCTACACATATGTATATACATACATACACATACACCCACATAACACACACACACTTGTATTGCACATCTTTACATACCTATACCTGTATAATACACACCCCTGCACCGCACACTGATACATTTACACACACTCACACCTACATCATGTACACTCACACAAACACACACACCTGTACACATACATTAACACACATCCACACCTGTACCATATACATGCACACAAACACACACACTTAAACTGACATTTACACTTCCCCACCTGAACCATACACACTCACACACTCAATTATACATAAATTTACACACCACTTGAACCATATACACTCACAAGTACACACACCTGTACCACATATATTTACACACACCTGTACCCCTTACACACACCACACATACATAAACTACACGCACCTATACCACACACACAACATAATGCCACACATACACATGCACACAACATACTATACACAGCACATGCACATGTGTCCATGCATGCGTCAGCTCCCGTTGAGACGGGCCGTTCTGGGCGGAAGTGTTGTGTCTGGCTCAGTCCAGTGACACCCTCCTGCTCCCTAGTGTCCCGCGCGGCCTGCGACCCGTGGAAGGAGAGCGGAGACGTGTCGGACAGCGGCAGCAGCACCACCAGCGGGCACTGGAGTGGGAGCGGCATCTCCACCCCGTCGCCCCCGCACCCCCAGGCCAGCCCCAAGTATCTGGGCGACGCCTTTGGCTCGCCCCAGACCGACGCCGGCTTCGAGACCGACCCCGACGCGTTCCTGCTGGACGAACCGGCTCCCCGCAAGCGGAAGGTGCGTGGTGAGGCGGGTGTCAGGCCGGGGTCCCCTCCGGGCTGGGGGGGAGCAGGCCTCAGTCACGTGTGTTCCCCCCAGAACTCCGTCAAGGTCATGTACAAGTGCCTGTGGCCCAGCTGCGGGAAGGTCCTGCGCTCGACCGTGGGCATCAAGAGACACGTGAGGACCCTCCACCTGGGGTAGGTGCCGGCCAGAGCCTTAGTGCCTGCGGGAGTGGGAGTGGGTCGGCCCCAGCGGGAACCTGGGGAGCACTGATCCCGGAGCCCTGCTCGGGCCCAGAGGAGGGAGCCCCACCCCACATGTGCACATGCTTCCTTATCGGGAGGGGAGGGGGCTCCTTCCTCCCCTGCCTCCCTGGTGCCTCGGTTTCCCCCATCCTGGAAGCGAGGCGTCACGCCCCTGAAGGGCCGGGTTCTCCCTACAGGGACACCGCGGGCTCCGACCAATTCAAACGGGAGGAGGATTTCTACTACACCGAGGTGCAGGCGAGGGAGGGGGCGGCCGAGCCCGTGCCCGCCCCTGGTGCAGCCAATGCCCCCCTCGCCCTGCTGCCCCCACCCGCGCCACCCTCGGGGCCTGAGCAGGGCAGCCCGGAGGCCCGCCCGCCTGCCCGCGCACTCAGCAAGTCGGCGCCTGGCTCCTTCTGGCACATTCAGGCCGACCACGCCTACCAGGTATGGGGCGGGGTGGGCACACGCTGGACCCCTGTTGTCCCATGTCGCCCTCCCTGTGCGGGCATCAGCAGCGGGTGGGCACGTGGCTGGCAAGGGCCTGCCCGACCTGGTTTCCGTCCGCACTGCCACACCGTCCCCTGAGCACCCGGGTGCAGCTCCCAGGGTCCCCAGCACCTCCCGGGTTCCTGAGCCCCCCAGGGCCATGAGCCACCCTCCCCCCATGCCCCTGACAGCCTCCTCAGCACCCCACGGGAGCTGCCTCCAGAGGAAAGATCGGTATGGGTGTCCTGAGTTCTGGGTTGCTCGCTCTTGAGCGGGTTCTAGAACATTTTGGGTGAAGACCTGAGTAATTGGGTACATGGATTTGGTCGGAGAGGCGGAGGGGGCGGTCACATCCCCTCTCAGGCTGAGCTCTGGGCTGGCCCCGGTATGGAGACGCAGCAGCCGCTCCGGGAAGGCAGGACCTCTAGGCTCACCCCCCTGGTGTCCCCGCAGGCCGTGCCGTCTTTCCAGATGCCCGTGTCCCCGCACATCTACACCAGCGTCAGCTGGGCCGCCCCGTCCACGGCTGCCTCCCTCTCTCCGGTAGGTGGCCCCGTCCATGGATGTCCCATGCTCCTTTAGGACTGCTGCCCAGGCCCATAGGAGGATGAGGGGCGTCTTCAGAGTGAACCTGGGCCTGAGATCAGGGTCAGGGCCAGACTGTGGGTGGATGAGGCCAGGTCATCCCGCCTGAGCGTAGTTTCTGGGGGTCTCAGGCAGCAGAGGGAGGAGATGCCGGAAATTGAGAGAAGAAGAAGTGGGCACCTCTGGGTGGTCAGGATGCCCGGGACCCGGGGCCTGAGGTTGCTGGTCCCGGATGTAAAGTGGACACATCCAGGACCAGGTACTGTGGGTTTCAGCTGGATGTGAAGTTTTCTGATTGGAGGCCGAGAGGAGCGAACAGCAGATAGGGCGCTTGCTTGGTAAAAGGTTAACCTAGATTTCATCACTGGCACTGAGTCCCCCAAGCACTACCATAGGGAGCCCTGAGCACAGAGCCAGGAGTTAGCCCTGAATCCTGCCCAGAGTGGCCCCAAAACAAAGTGAAAGAAAACAGTTCCCTGTCAGGCAGGAACACGCCGCCATTGGTGCCCTTCTCTGCCCACCTGCCTCCGGCCACACCTCTGGCCACGCCCCCCCCCTCCTCCCCCCCCCCCCCCCCGGTTCTCCACCTCCCTCCCCGAAGCACCTTCCTTATAGTTCCTGCACTCACCTCCCGCTCACAGCCTCTCTCTCTCCCTCGGCCAGGGCCGGAGCCGCTCGCTTAGCTTCAGTGAGCCACAGCCGCCGCCTCCTGCCGTGAAGTCTCACCTGATTGTCACTTCTCCACCCCGGACCCAGAGCAGTGCCAGGTGAGAGGGTCTGACATGTGGTCAGCCTGTGGTCTGCATCCCTGGTCTGTGTCCAGGGTCTGTGTCCAGGGTCTGTGTCCATGGTCTCATCCTGTAGTTTGGTCTGATCCTATGGTCTCTGCCCGTGGTCTGATTCTGTGGTCTGTACCTGTGGTCTGATACTGTGGTCTGATCCCGTGGTCTGACCCTGTGATCTGATCCTGTGGTCTGATACTGTGGTCTGATCCTGTGGTCTGACCCTGTGATCTGATCCTGTGGTCTGATCTCATGGTCTTTTCCTGGGGTCTGTGCCCACGGTCGTGTACCCATGGTCTGTGCCCATGGACTGACACCATGGTCTGTGCCTGTGGTCTGACCCCGTGGTCTGATCCCATGGTCTGTGCCAGGGGTCTGTGCCTGTGGTCTGACCCCGTGGTCTTCTCCTGTGGTCTGACCCTGTGGTCTGCCCATGGTCTGTGCCTGTGGTCTGACCCCGTGGTCTTCTCCTGTGGTCTGACCCCGTAGTCTGTGCCCGTAGTCTCACCCCGTGGTCTGTGCCCATGGTCTGTGCCCGTGCTCCTGTCCTGTCCAGCACACTTGGGGCTTCAGCATCAGGAAGCGTGGCGAGCCTGGGGGGAGGCTGGTGGCCCCCACTTTCTGCCTGGCTGACGGTGTCCTCCCACTTTGCCAGGAAAGGCCGTGGCGAGGCCAAGAAGTGCCGCAAGGTATACGGCGTGGAGCAGCGGGCGCAGTGGTGCACGGCCTGCCGCTGGAAGAAGGCGTGCCAGCGCTTCCTGGACTGAAGCCGAGAGCAGGAGTGGACTGGGGCTGGGGCGCTCGGAGCTGAGGCTTCCCTCGGAACGCCGTCCCTGCCCAGGAGAACTTTGGATTTTTGTCTTTTAAAGAAAAGAATTATTTTCTTCCCCTAAAATTAGGAGCGAGCCCCGCCTGACCAGGGGTGTTCTGCCATGAACCAGAGACCAAAGAATGAGGACCCCCCCCACCACACCCCCCGACTCCCAGACCGGGGGTTCTTGGCTTTCGGCTCTTCTGAGGGAACTGTGGGCACGTGGGGTTCTCTCCCCCGTTTCTGGCTGATGCCAGCCGGTAGGTGCAGCGCCCGGGTGCGGCAGGGGCTTGTGCCCACTCAGCAGCCTTCCTGGCGGCCGGATACTTCCTTGGGGGTGACGGCCACTTGAACGTGGGCACCCAGGGCTGCACCTGCTGTCACAGGGCGGCTAAGGCCAGCCCCGTCCCGACTCCCGCCTTCTCTCCCGCTTTCACCCCCTTTCTCTGCCAGCACTTGGGGGCACGCCTGCACCACGCTCCGCAAATGTGGTGCCCTAGAGTGCCCAGCTGTCCCTTTGGGCCCCTCTGTCTACCCACGAGCACAGGGGCCTGGCACGGGCAGGCAGAGGAGCCTGGAGGACAGCCTGCTGCTTCCGGGGCTTCAGCTGGGGACTGAGTGAGGACAGCTGACCCTGTGAGGCCCACCCAGCTGTCGCCCGCTGGGGGTGCCCAGGGCCTGTTGGGTGCCCTTAGGGGCTCAGAGAAGCCCCCTCCGCCCCCCCACCCCTGCTTTCCCTGGGGCCAGGCAGCCTCATCCACCCTGGGCTCTATTCCACACTGGCCTCTGGGCCTCAGCTGGGCGTACCTGGCATGTGTGCCCGGCGTGGGTGAATGATCCGTGGAGCTGGCATGCGTGCCTGGCATCATCCTGTCTGCTGAGTCACCAGTGGCGGCCTCCCGGGAACAGGAGCTGCTGCTTGGGGATCTGTTGGGTTCCGTTCGGACCTCGCAAACAGCTGAGCTGAGGCCCTGGGCCCAAGTATTGTTTTTACTGTTAAAAATAATAGGAGAGAGATCCCACTGCCCCTGCTGGGCCAGGGCTCGTCCAAGCCGTGTGTGGGACCCTTGCCTCGTCCCCCGGTCCCCGTGGGAAGCAGACGCGGGCGCTTTCCCAGGCTTGCTCCCAGATCGGGCTGGGGGGACTCCGCCGCCCCCAGACCCGTGTCCTCACTCCACCCCTTCACAGCTGCCCTGTCCAGGAGCCGTGGGGTGGGGGGTTCTTGGCATCGCTCGGACCCGCCGGCCTTCTCCAGGGGAGGCTTCGTGCTCAGGCCCCACCCTGTGGCTGTCATGTGTGAATTTGAGTTGCCCTGCTTGTCTCTGCTGGAGAAGGGGAGGGGGTTTGCCCTGTGAGGCCAGGGCTGTTCATCTCCATCCCCCTGCCGCTCCCCAGGACCCCCTCTCCAGGGGCAGAGCTAACCTAAGTGCAGAGAGGGGTCCCAGGAAGGACTGGCGCTGACTGGCCAAGCAGTTGTCTGCAAACTTCTGCTTCTGGGGATGGTTCCTGTGCTGGACGGACTTGGGGGAACAGCCTTTGGGGTTGTGATGGCCGAGCCTTGGGCTCGGTTACTGGGTCAGGCCCACGGTCAGGTTCCACCGAGAGCCACCCAGCACTTGGGCTAACCACGGAGTCTGATGGGAGGTTCTGAGCTGGCCCCAAAGCATCGGAGGGGCAGAGGTTGGCTGGCGTGTGCCAGCACCCCCACCTGTGCCCCGGGGACCCCCAAGATGCCAGCTGGGGTGCTCAGGATGTTCGGAAGCACTCGGTCCTGTTTCCCCCTGGGCCCGCCGGCTCTGGCTTGGCCAGGCACGGCACAGACAGACAGAAACAAAAGCAGGAGCGGAGGAGGATGAAACCACGTTGTGCATTCAGCTTAGCGACCCCCCCCCCCCCGCGCCTCCCCCCCGCAGCTGTCTTCCAAGTATTATTTTTACTGTTAAGAAATTTTTTAAAAGAGAAATGTGAAATGTAATGTTTTTACAGCAACCATATGAAATATATTTTATAAGGAATAAATGGTGCCTTGTCTGTGTGACTACCCGTTCCACGGCCCTGAAGTCCATGGGGTGAGATGCTGCTGACCTGGGCACTGCTCAGGGCTGACTCCTGGCTCTATGCTCTGGGGATCATGCCTGGTGGTGCTCAGGGCTTACTCCTGGCTCTGTGCTCGGGGATCATGCCTGGTGGTGCTCAGGGCTGACTCCTGGCTCTGTGCTTGGGGATCACACCTGGTGGTGCTCAGGGCTGACTCCTGACCGAACTAGGGGGACCTCACATGGAGGTGGGGGTGAAACCTGTGTCAGCCATGAGCCAGGCAAGCGCCTAAGCCCCTGTACTATCTCTCCATGCCCTCCTTTGTGTGTTACACTGGGGTGATGTGGCCCTCCAGGGGAAGACCCAGTCTGGCCTCTCACGGACCAGCAGCCCCTCCCCTGGGTCGGAGCTGATGGAGGATGGTCCTGCAGTCTGGCGAGGATCCACTGTGGGCATCAGTCCTCTGGGGCCAGCACATTCCGGCCACATGCCCAAGCCCCTTGGCAGTGACTGAGGAGGGTGCAAATCATGCAATTTGGACTCTCGGGCGCCTCAGTACAGGCCTGCACTGCCACCTTCTGGGTGAATGTGGTCTGGGGGCTGGGAGGGGTCTGCCATCCTGCAGGAGACCAGGCCTGATCCCCCTACACCTGCTCCCCTTCACTGGAACCAACAAGCCTCAGAATGACTCAGTGACCCGTGCACGGCCACCCCAGGCCTGGCATGGGCTCCCTCTGTGCCAGAGTGTGGGCCTTGCATGCCTGAGGCCAAGCATTCGACTACGGGCACCCCACTGTCGGGTGTGTCTCCCCGACAATTTGCTGTTGCGATTCCCAGTGCCACAGCCAAGTGTGGCCACCAAGTATGACAAGAACAAAGGGGAGAGAGGGGAATGCGGCCGAGAGGGGCTACATTCTCGTCCTGGAGGCTGGGTCAAAGGTCCGAGCTGGGCCTTGTCCATGCAGAATTCCCACCCTGGGTAAAAGATTTTGGAAACAGGATATCATTCCCAGGCAGTGCACTGCTGCCCGCCTTGCTGGACCTTCAGGAAAGGCAGAAGAACTAAGAGTAAGGTGTGTGTGATTGTGGGCAAAGTATTTTTAAAATTGGAGATGCCGGGTGGTGGTAATAGTGCGGGGGGGGGGGATGGTGAGCATAGTGGTGATGGTGAGGTGGTGATGTCATCATGGTGATGGTGATGTGGTGATGTCATCATGGTGGTAATGGTGATGTGATGTCATCATGGTGATGTGGTGATGTCATCATGGTGGTAATGGTGATGTGATGCCATCATGGTGATGTGGTGATGTCATCATGGTGGTAATGGTGATGTGATGTCATCATGGTGATGTGGTGATGTCATCATGGTGGTAATGGTGATGTGATGCCCCATCATGGTGATGGTGATGTGGTGATGTCATCATGGTGGTAATGGTGATGTGGTGTCATCATGGTGATGGTGATGCGGTGATGTCATTCTGGTGATGTCATCATGGTGGGTGGTGATGTGATGTCATCGTGGTGGTGGTGGTGGTGATCATGGTGATGGTGATAATGGTAGTGATGGTGGTGACGGTGATGTTGGTGTTGGGGACCGTGTTGCAGATACACAGGGTGAGGTGCTGGGCACCCCGTCCCCGCTTCCTACAGTTTGGGTGTTACTCTGCCCCTGGGTGTGGGGGCTCAGCACAGCTGGGCGCTTGCCCTGGGCTTCACCGTCATGCTTTGTGTCCAGTCAAGCCATGGCTGGGGAGTGCAGGGGTGCGGGGGAGAGGGAGAGAGACTCTGGGGTCTGCGCTCCTCTGTCTTCTACCTTTAAAAGCAGCCGCCAGGGATGGGGCGATAGATAACCCCCGGGGTAGAGCGTAGGCCTGGGTGCGACCCCTGACATCGCACAGCCCCCTCAGCTCCACTCCTGAGAGGTAAGGGAGATCGGACATGGGAAGGCACCAAGCTGGTCTCGGACACTGTGTGCAGTTCTCTGTGCCCTGCCAGGAGTCTGCTCTGAGACCGCTGGGTGTGACCCACAACAAAATCAAGAGGGGCCAGAGAGAGAAACAGAACTGACCCAGTGGGGAGACCCGGGTTCCCTGGACACTACGACGAGTGACCCTGAACACAGACCTGGGTCCCTTGGATACTATGATGAGTGACCGTGAACACAGAGCCAGGAGTCAGCCCTGAGCACCTCCAGGTTTGGCCCAGCTTCCGCCCTAATAAATTAAAATAGAAAACCCAGTCACCATATGAACCATTTGCTCAGGAGAAGTTTAATGGAGAGACGTCTTTAGAAGAACAGCTCTTTCCAAACCCGAAGGGTGGGCAGCCGGGGGTACCCCCGACCATTTCCTTTGGCCAGGGCGCCTAGCAGGGGGAGGGCAGCGAGCGGGTCCACGTCAGCGGGGAGTTACAAAAATACACTCTGGTGAGGACACATGGTGTCACGGAACATGCCGGTGGGGGAACAGCCAGACGGAATGGGGGGACTGCCAGATGGCGGGGGAGGGGCAGCTGGACGGGCAGGGGCGATCTGGAAGCGGATCCGGCCTCAGCTCCCGGTGGGCTGGCCACATGCTGATTGGGGGGGTCAGCGGGATACCTGGGGAGACAGAAAGGATTAAACAGGAGCCCCCCAATTACTCTTAAACGGCAGTGCCTGTGTGTGTGGCTGAGTCTGACCCTGGCACCGTACCCCCCCCCCCCAGCATTGCAGGGAGAAGCTGGAGGTGGTCCTGGGATCCCCAGCACCACGGGCTGTGCACCCTGCCATTTTTTTTTTATAAGAATAGGGTGATCCGAGGTTCCCAGCCCTTCAGCTGCTCTGGCCTTGTGACTGTCACGGGAGAGGAAGGAAGCTGTCCCTTGAGCTCACGAATCCTGACTTTCAGGGCAGTCGGAAGGCTGGATGGGGTCCCTAAGGCAGACAGACGGGCGGGGGGTGCTGGGAAGAGGAGGGGAGTTCTCCCTGGGCAGGCACGACCCCCAGACATGTCCATCTTTCTTGAGCAGCCTGCTGTGAGACCCTCCTTTAAGCCCGTGTTTCTCGTGGCCCCTTCTGACCTCGTAGGAAGGTTCCCTTCTGAGGACCCCCTCACCTCCTGCTGTGGTCCCCCACTGACATGGCTTTCACCCACACCCCCCCTCGGAACCTTCTGGGGCCACAGGGGGTCACGGCGTACCCTGCTGTAGGCCTAGCCGTGGCAAGTGCTCCTTAGGGCTGCTGGTGCCCACTAACGCTTGTTTCGCGCCCTCCCGCAAGCCACCTGTAGGTCAGGCACTGGCGGGCTGGAATAATAAGTTTGAGCTCAGAGGAAATGCAGCCCCAGCCACTGAGGCGGGTGGACAGTGAGTGCCAGTCCGAGAGCAGGACCCGGGAGCCGGCATGGGTCACCTGCAGAGTGGCTGGAACAAGTTCCAATAGTGGGACAAGTGACAGAAGTGGGAGGGGGACAGAGTGGGCGAATCTTCCGTGAAGGGGTGGCCAGCCAGGCTCGGCCATGGCTGTTTGATCTGGCTTCTAGGTACCGGGGGACATGGGCCAGGGCAGGCGGGAACAGAATGGGGGGATGGAGTGGACGAGCAAACCAAACCCCGTCACAGCAGAAGGGGCTCCCGGGAAGCAGGAAAAAGAGAGAGAAAGATGGTGCCCGTGGCCTTGAAGCAGCGAGGTCCACAGCCAAACTGTCCACGTCATGCTCAGCAGGGAGGCAGCCGGGGCACCGCAAAGGGCCCGTTGCTGGCCAGCCATGGACATACCAGTATGGGACCAGGGAAAGCATCTGGCCAGGCACCTGCTCTCTCCAGTTGCTGATGGGATGTGGGGGCCATCAGGGCTGGTGGGTTCTTGCCATCTGCCCATCCAGGCCAGAGCGGCGAGGCGGAAATCCCCACGTCACAGCCGTGGAATTAGCCAGTGCAGCACGGCCAGCTCCAGCTCTGGGTTCTTAGAGATAAAGGGTCCAAGGGAATGAGGGGGCGCTGCTGAATGGTGACTATGGCAACTGGGAGTGGGGATGGCCTGTCCTCTTCACCGTCCCCATAGTAACTAAGCCCGGGAGAGCCAGAGAGAATTAGTTATCTTAACCTACCACCGCGATCCCCATGGTAACCAATCTCTGCCTGGCTCTGCTCAGCCCCGTGCCGGGGGCTCCCCAGAGGAGGCTCAGGAGCACGGAGACAACACTCTGGAAGGGGTGTGTGTATGTGTGTGTATATTTATGTGTGTATGTGTATATGTGTGTATGTATGTGTGTATATGTGTATATATACATGTGTATGTGTGTATATATGTATGTGCATACATGTGTATATGTGTGCATATATGTGTGTATGTGTATGTAAGTATGTATATGTGTATGTGTGTATATGTGTGTATGTACCTATATATGTGTATGCATGTCTGTGTGTGTATATATGTGTGCATGTGCGTATGCGTGTATGTGTGCACGTGTATGTGTATATATGTGTGTATATGTGTGTATGTGTGTATGTGTGTATATGTATGTATATATGTGTGTGCATATATGTGTGTGTATGTATATGTGTATGTGTGTATATGTGTGTATGCGTCTATATATGTGTGTATGCATGTCTCTGTGTATATATGTGTGCATGTGTGTATGCGTGTATGTGTATATGTGTGTGTATGTGTATATATGTGCGTGTGTATGTATGTGTGTGTATGTATGTATATGTGTGTGGACAGCGGACATCTGAGGGGTTCCTCTCGGCCCTGTTCACTCACGGGAGGGCAGACGGCAGGGCGGGGGTCCCCGACGGCTATGCGTGTCCTTTCTGGCGCCAGGTCCGCCGGCGCTGGCTGGACTGCATGCTCAGCACCAGGTACTGCCTCATAAACTCGCTGAAGCGCTTCTGGTTGGCCAGCTTGCGGGCAGACTTGCGGGCCCCGGTGAAGCCGCCGAACCGTTTCTGCAGCTGCTTCTGCTCCACGTCTTGGGGGCCGGGCTCAGGGCGCTCCTGTTCCTGGCCCAGGCTCCTGACCCGGGGCATGCGCTTCAGCTGCTGCGTCTCGGGGGCGCCCCCGACTCGCTCAGGGCCGGCGGAGTCCAGCTGCCAGGAGCCCCCCGCCATGGCCTCAGTGCACGGAGTCCAGAGGGGGCTGGCGAGGCCCTGTCCCTCACACTGGAGGACACACACCTGCGGTGACGGGGTGGGGACCGTGTCAGTTGAGGCTGGGCGGAGTCCACTCCCCTCTCCCGGGCAGACACTGGCTCAGCTCCCATGAGCCCGAGACCCCCCCAGACCTGAGAGTTGGGCTCATGCCCCCCACCCCCACCCCCGGGCCTTCTTGGGCACTGGGAGCCGGGTACAGCTCGAGAAGTTCCCCCAGAAGGTTCATTTTGTTCTGTCTCGGGCTCGGGGGTGTCAGGGTGGTTTGAGAACGGGGCAGTGGAGCTAGGCCAGGGGGCCATGGCACACGGCTGGCACGCGGCTGACTTTGGCCTGAGCCCTGACTGCCCGGGCCCAGCAGTAGCGCACCCGCGGGCCCTTTCACAGAACCCAGAGAGAGGGTGTCAGAGGGCATTATTCCATCCCCTCGTGGCTGTAGTATTGGTGGGGCTGGAGTGGCTCCAGGCCTCCGCGTGGAGCAAGCCTCTATTACTTTTTCTTTTTTTTTCGGCTTTTTGGGTCACACCTGGTGATGCTCAGGGGTTACTCCTGGCTCTGTGCTCAGCAGTTAACTCCTGGCAGTGCTTGGGGGACCAAGTGGGATGCCAGAAATCAAACCCAGGTTGTTCTCATGCAAGAAAAAATGCCCTACCCATTGTACATCACTCTACCCTCACCCCCATGGCTGTTTTAAAGTTCCTGAGCCAAGATTCACTGGATTAACTTTTTTGTTCCACCTTCACGCATCTCTGTTGTAAGGAAGTGAGCATGGGCAACACGTTTTGCTCACACACATACTTCCTCTAATCTCTCCTGAGTCTCAGTCCTGCCCCTCCAAGTTTTACTCATCAATTTTCTATTTGATGGGGGTGAGGGGGCCGGGGCCTACCCCAGCTGTACTAAAGGCTCACTCCCGCCTCGTTGCTCAGGGATCATTCCTGCTGGTCCTCGGGACCATATGTGGTGCTGGGGAACACACCAGGGTCTGCGGCATGGTTGAAAGCAAGGCAAACACCTTAACCCCGGTACTATTTCTTTGGCCTCCACTTAAATGTTCTTTAAGACTCACTTCTGACATTTGTCAGGATGAGAATTCTCAGCCTACAATCGCTGGAGACTCTTGATGTAAACAATCAAGGAGTGGGGCTTGGAGTGTGTGCGTGTGTGTGTGCGTGCGTGCGTGTGTGTGTGTGTGTGTGTGTGTGTGTTGGGGACCACACCCAGAGGCGCTCAGGGCTTATTTATTTCTGGCTCTGCCCTCAGGAATCACTCCTGGCCAGCACGGGGGACCATGTGGGGTGCCGGTGATCTAACTTGGGTTGGCTGCGTGCAAGCCACTGTACTATGACGCCAGCCCCCGGAATCTGCATTGTATTGTATTTTATTTTATTATTATTTTTAGTTTTTGCTTTTTGGGTCACATCAGGCAACGCACTTAGTCCTGGCTCTGCACTCAGGAATCACTCCTGGTGGCGCTCAGGGGATCCTGTGGGATGCTGGGAATTGAACCCGGGTTGGCTGCAGGCAAGACAAATGCTCTACTGTTGTACTATCGCTCCAGCCCTGAATTTGCATTTTAAACCAGCCTCCTGGATGAACCTGAAAAGTCCTGCTTTGGAAGTTGCTTTAAGGAGGGAAGATGCCTCCGGAGAAGGGTCCAAGGCACATGCTTAGGCTGCTGCCGCTGGAGAGAAGCACCAGAACCCGTTTGCAGACTGTTCTTTCCGGCCATGCTCAGCCTGAGTCACGACTCTGTCACCGGGGGTCTCAACTGGGGCATGTTCCTCCCTTGGGGGACGTTTGGCAATGTCTGGAGTTGGCTGGGGTGGGCACACAGGAAGAGGGTGGGCTGCTACTGCAGTCTAGTGAGGAGTGGTGGGGAGGCAGGTTAGCTTCTTTACGCACTGGAAAGACTTGTGAAGAAGTCGAATTAAGTTGCTAATTAGGATGTTAATTAAGTTATTGGACTAAGGAGAGGAGAAACAAGCCTAAGTGGTGTTTCTAGATAACGGCGACTGATCTGGATTGTCTAGTTATCCAGTATCACGGCGGAGGGTCTGGGGAAGCAACACAGGAGTCCACAGGTAGGCAGGGCAGCATGCACAGCCCTTGGGAAGTCCAGAGAAGTGTGTGGAGGCTGGGGACAAGAGAACCTTTGAGCAAACATGGCCCATCCCGCAAAGACTAGGAGACCCAAGCTTCCTGTTTGTCTCCTTCAGTGGACCTTCTGGAAGCCTCTAGAAGATCTGGATTTCTAAGCCCAGATGGAAATCAGATTGCATGTCAGTTGGAAGATGCATCTCTGTGGTCCAGAGGCCAAGCCCATACCAGGGCAGAACATGCCACTCACCTACTCACCTTCAGTCTTTTTTTTTTTTTTTTTGGCTTTTTGGATCACACCCAGTGAAGCACAGGGGTTACTCCTGGCTCTGCACTCAGGAATTACTCCTGGTGGTGCTCAGGGGACACCATATGGGATGCTGGGAATCGGACCAGGGTCGGCCGCGTGCAAGGCAAACACCCGACCTGCTGTGCTATCGCTCCAGCTTCTCTCACTTTCAGTCTTGATTCAGGGGAGGGTTTTGGGCTAACATGGGGAACCTAACGGACAATAGCATTTGTAGCACCAGATGGGAATGTGAGCTTCACGCCTAACCCTCTGGTGTGAGGGAACCACAAGTCTCTTTCCATAGATGAGCTAATAGCCCATTAGTGAACTGGGTACAGAGTCACAACCCACGCTGTGGATACGGCTCCATTAAGCCAGAGCTGAATGAACATCTGCAATGTCTTAGGTTGGTGCCAGATGGAGCTGTAAAGCTGGGCTGGGGAGAAACGGAGCAAAGCCCATTTCAATGCCTGGGGCGAGAGATTAGGAAAATAGACTCATTCGTCCGCTGGAAGGGAAACAAGAAGCTCATCGGACTCGGAACCATCCAGTTTCTGCCATTAAAGACTCAGATCACTTCTGACAAGAGACATGTGGGAGCTCTTTACTCGAGGAGGTTGTGCCAGCATCTCTCGGGGCTAACACTAGCAGATCAATCGTGCAGACGAGAAACATAGGGCCCCTGCTGCCAATCAATGCCAAGAGCTTCCTGGTAATAAAAATAGAATTGCCAGAAAGTAGATTTTTTTTCCCTGCTAGTTGTTTTAGATAAATTAAAATTTCCGGGCTTGGAGCAATAGTACAGCAGGTAGGACGTTTGCCTTGCATGCGGCCGACCCGGGTTCGATTCCCAGCATCCCATATGGTCCCCTGAGCACTGCCAGGAGTAATTCCTGAGAGCATGAGCTAGGAGTAACCCCTGTGCATCGCTGGGTGTGACCCAAAAGAAGCAAAAAAAAAAAAAAATTAAAATTTCCAAGACCTTTTACTTAGTTGCAGGGGGTAGGGGGTAATTTTTTTTGTTTGTTTGTTTGTTTTGCTTTTTGGGTCACACCCAGTAATGCACAGGGGTTACTCCTGGCTCTACACTCAGGAATTACTCCTGGTGGTTCTCAGGGGACCATATGGGATGCTGGGAATCGGACCCAGGTCAGCCTCTTGCAAGGTAAACGCCCTACCTGCTGTGATATCACTCCAGCCCCAGGGTGTAGTGTTTTATCTTCTTGTCCCTGAAACAACTCTGTAAATCCATTTTTTTTTCCCCTCCTGGAGATCGCAGAGTATCACAATTAGGAGAGAACCCGGGATGTTGCAATGTGTTAGTGTGGGTTGAGTCATTGGTCAACCAATATTACAATCCAACAAAACCCAGTCACACTCAGACCATGAGCCTGGAGGGATCAATAAAGATTCCCCGGGAAGCTAAGGGCCCAGAGGGTTCTGGAAAGAGCCCAGGAAAGCCTAAATGGGTAAAGAATTTGGGGAGGTGACCCTGAACTGAATCTCGAGGGTTGCAAGAGCTGCGGTGAGCTGAGCAGTGGTTGCTCTTCTGAGGGATTCCGCCAAACTTCAAAAAACTGGCTACAGGAGAAAACAGACTAGAAATAACCGAGCAACTGGGGCTGGGATGTCTGCAGATACCACCAAGGTCTGACTGGCCCCTTTTCTGAAGGGGTTTGAAGAAGTCTGAAGAAGTAAAGAGAACAGCGATCTGGACCCCAGAGACTCCGGACCTTACGGAGCTGAGGAAACGGCCTCCACGTTCTCGGAGAGTTACGTTTTGAAAATGCGCAGACGTCTCCAGCGGCGAGCCCATCTGATGGAAGGACCGGCCCCTGGGTCAGCTCCACGGGCAGAGGTTGTCGGGGACCCCTGGAGAGGAAGCCCAGTCCTATACGAGGGGGTCCAGGGGACTCAGTGAAATGGCCCCAAGGGGACAGGTGGAGAGAACCTCGGGTCTCAGGAGAGTGGACGCTTCCCCAAGGGTGTCCTACCTTGTACAGGAGCAGCTAGGGGAGGGAGCAAGGGGCACAGCTGGATGCCATGGGGCAGGCTGGGGGGAGGACAGGATTTCCAGTCATTGAAGCACACAGAGAGGCAAGTAGCAGGCATCTGTGGGAGTGTCCTGCACCCTAGGGTCACCCTGGGAGATGGCAAGAGCATCTTCTGTTGCTCAGGGAAGTGTGTTTGAATGGCTCAGGAGTAATACCTTTCTCTTGTGTGTGTGTGTGTGTGTGTGTGTGTGTGTGTGTGTGTGTGTGTGTGTGTTGGGGGGGGGGTTCAGAGTCCCATGTGTGAATCGTTCTTCCAAGAAATGTGACCAGAAGGGGAGGGAAGAACCTGGGGAGGAATAAAGGAGGATGGCCAAGAGGCCAAGGAAGACGGGAGGCAGGTGGGAGATGAGAGAATGAAGGCCTGGCCCAATGGGTCTTCGGGAGACCCCAGAGCATTTCCATCTCAGTACAGAGCCCCTGAGTCTTGGTCCCTGGGTGGGGCGTTCACACATGCTTCAGGGGTAGGGGTGATGGCAGTTACATGGGGGCCCTGACACGCAGGGCTGATTCACTTTGTGAAAATATTTGGGCCGGAGCAATAGTAGAGGGTGAGGGGCCTTGCCTCACACAGCTGTCTCAGGCTTGATTCCAGGCACCACGTATGGACCCCCGTGCCCTGAGCACGGAGCCAGGAGTAAGTCCCGAGGTGCAGCCTCCAGTACAAAATAATACATTTCTGCAGAGTCGGGAGATACGGCTGGAGCTTATGTCAAGCTTAGGGGTGTCCTGGGTTCCACCCTCGGCACCCACAGTCCCTAAGCACTGAGCCAGGAGTGGCCCAGGGTGCAAGTATAGGTATAGGCTCAGTATTTCTTTCTTTCTTTCTTTCTTTCTTTCTTTCTTTCTTTCTTTCTTTCTTTCTTTCTTTCTCTCTTCTTTCTCTTTCTCTCTCCCTTCCTTCCTTCCTTCCTTCCTTCCTTCCTTCCTTCTCTCTCTCTCTCTCTCTTTCTTTCTCTCTCTCTGTCTCTCTCTCTCTCTTTCTTTCTTTCTCTTTTTTTTTTTGCTTTTTGGGATATTACAGCGGTAGGGTGTTTGCCTTGCGTGTAGCTGGCCCGGCTCAGCCGGGTTCGATTTCTGTAGCCCAGAAAGCTACCAACAATATCTCACCCACACGGCAAAGCCTGCCCATGACGTATCCAATATGCCAAACACAGTAACAACAAGTCTCATGATGGAGATGTTACTGGGCCTGCTCGAGCAAATCGATGAATAACGGGAGGACAGTGCTCCAGTGCTCCAGTGCTTTTTGCGTCACACCCAGCGATGCTCAGGGATTACTCCTGGCTCTGCACTCAGGAATTACTCCTAGCAGTACTTACAGGGCCATACGGGATACCGGGGATTGAACTCAGGTCGGCGTCATGCAAGGCAAATGCCTACCCGCTGTACTATCGCTCTGCCCCCCTCAGTGACATCTTTACAGAGAAGTCCCTAATGCTCCTTTGGGAAATATGCATAGTATGAAAGTGACCCTGCGCGGCTCAGTGACTTAGCTCTAGTTCCACCTGCAGGCGGCTAGTACCACTGTGTTTTTTATTTGCACCAGTTGGAGCTCTGTCTCCATTAAAGAGCTCTCGTCCCTCCCCTCAGCCTCCGCCACGCCCATTCTCAGGCTGTCTCTAAGTCTCTCTCTCTGGCCTGGCCACAAAGCCTGGGGTTCTTCAGGCCGCCCCCGCTGGCCCCTGCGCTGGGCGCTCCTTCCTTTTCAAGGGCGAATAATATTCCATGCACTTGCCTATGAGGTGCACAGATCCATGCCGGACATGGCTTGCCATGCCTATTGGTGACAGTGAGCAGCACTGATGGGAGCATGTGAGTCCGTTGTGTGAGTGCGAGGCAGAGGGTTGCGGAGGAAGCTGGTGAGAGCGAGATCCTGCCTGACCTCAGCTGTGTGTCGGCCTCAACCCAGGCCTGGCTCCGAGCAGTGATAGTGAGATTGCCTAATCAGCGCCTTGCTGGCCTGCATGTAAACTCGCTCTCTGCTCTATTTACAAGGACTAAGTCAAGTGTTTGGGGGCTGAACTTTGAAACCTCCAGGGAGCAGCCCAGAGGGAAAGGCATGTGGGCCTAGTGGCCAAACCCAGGTCTTCTCAGTCCATTGGGTCCACTTACTCCTGTAGGCATTGATGGTCCTCCTCCCCAAGGCCCCTGGACCATACTCCCTGCCTCTTCTCTCTGCAGAGATTTCAGTTTCCCCGAAAGCCCTCTTTAGACAATGTTGGGGTCCTGGGCCTCCTTTTTTTCTTTGCTTTTTGGGTCACACCCGGCAATGCACAGGGGTACTCCTGGTTTTTCACTCAGGAATTACTCTGCACTCTGCACTCAGGCATGACTCCTGGCGGTGCTCGGGGAACCATATGAGATGCTGGGAATTGAACCCGGGTTGGCCACATGCAAGGCAAATGCCCTACCCGCTGTACTATCACTCCAGCCCCTATTCTGTGTCTCTTTGATGCAGTTATCACCCTCCTGAGGAGTGGCTGGGGACTCCTGTCTCCCCAGGTGGCTTTCAAACTCTCTCTGCTCACCCTTGACTCCCTGGCCCTAGCCCAGAGTCCTGAGCAGAGAAGAAACTCAGGGCAAGTCCAGAGGGATGAAGAAACTCAGGGCACAGTGCTTCCTAAAGCAGACGAACAGTCTCTACAGCAAGGAAGAGCTTGGCATGTGGGCTTCTGGGTTGCCCTCTTGTCCACAGTCACTTGACTGCTATGTTTCTACCCGGCATATAAAAGGAGTTCCTTTCGGTTGCTTTTAAAAAGGCTGAAGAGGGCTGGAGCGATAGCACAGTGGGTAGGGCATTTGCCTTGCATGAGGCCGACCTGGGTTCAATTCCCAGCATCCCACATGGTCCCCTGAGCACCGCCAGGAATGACTCCTGAGTGCAGAGCCAGGAGGGAATCCTGAGCATAGCCAAAAAGCAAAATAAAATAAATAAATAAATAAAAAGGCTGAAGAGTTTAAAACAGGGCATCCCAGGGCCCAGGGAGATAGTACAGGGGGTAAGGCTCCTGCCTTGCAGGCAGCCGATCCAAGTTTGACCCCTGGCACCACATAGAGTCCCGTCAGCATTGCCAGGAGTGGTCCCTGAGCGTAGAGCCAGGAGTGAACTCTGAGCACTGCTGGGTGTGGCCCCCAAGTAAAAAATCAAAGGGCATAGCCTTTAAAAGGAGTTTATTTGTCTTCAGAGGAAAAGGATGAGGATGTTAAATGTAAAAATTTGTGCAGAAAAGCAAACACCTAAGAAATCTGTGAGAGGCAATTTCACTCTGAATTTGCACCTCAAACCCAACCTTTAGTATAGGAGACTCGGGGGCCAGAACGGAGAGGGTGCTTGCTCTGCATGTGGCCAAACTGGGTTTGATCCCCAGCATCCCATAGGGCCCCCTGAGCACTGCCAGGAGTGACCCCTGAGAGCAGAGCCAGGTATGGCCCTCAAACAACAACAGAAAAAAAAAAAACCAAAAAAAACAGAACCCAACAAATTGTAAACAGGAGAGCTTGAAGGTGTTTCGGTAGCATGATCTAGAGTTTTAGAAATGGAGGGTGACAGATGTCCCCCACGGCGGAAGGGTAAAACCGATCGTCAAGTGCAGGGGGAGAGAAAGGCTTCCTGGAACGATGAATCACCAGGGGAGGGATCCTGGTGGGGGAAAAGCGAGTGGAAAAAAACTCGGATTGACGGATGGGGTTGAAGGTGATCCGAATTTTCTTTTTTTAGCCTTCTGTGAGTTCGCCAAGTTCTCGAAAGTGAGTGGAACCAGGGACGGGGCAAGTCCCTGTTCGAAGGGTGACTCGGGAGGGACTCCCGTCTGAACCCACCTCCTCCCCACGTGCAGCCCGGCGGGTGGCCGGGGGCAGGGTGCCCCCTGGAGGAGGCGGCAGGAGCTTGCGGGTTGCCCACCCCTGCACCTACCTCAAGGCTGAAGCTGTCCAGGGCGGGCCCCAGCTTCTCGCGGCAGCTCAGACAGTCCCTGTGGCAGCTGCCGGAGGTGCGGCCCGGGCAGAGGCTGAGCAGCAGAAGGCCACAGAGCAGGTGCTTCATGGTGTAGCGTGGGAAAGCGGGGCCTGGAAGACAGGGCGAGCAGCCTCAGAACACGCAGGGCCGGTTCCTCTCGGGGACACAGATGCTCGGGCCAGCCTCCTGGGCTGCTCCCGGTGTGTGACTGAGAGAGGGACGGAGGGCACCTGTCTATTTCGGGGCCCCTATGCAAAGGAGGCGAGGCCCCGGAGGGAGGTTTGCAAAGGGCCGTGCAGCCCGCGTGAGGTGTAGAGATGAACCTTGTGTAGCCAGCAGTGCCTCTGCCCGGGGATGTGCCTTTCTGGAAGCTTCTGCCGGATTCTAGGTCTATCACCTCTGCAGACATGACCCTGCTTCCGGAACGCAAGCCCTGATGTTGGTGCAAAGCACAGGACCAGCCACTTAAGGGGGAGCAGAAACAGTCTAAAGCAGAGCTGCAGCCCTCCCGGGTCGGAGCATGAGTTTCTATCCTTCAGCCAGCAAACGGGGCCGTTTTTCCTGCTTCTCTCGAAATGCAGCCTCCCGGCTTTGCTCCTAAATCAGGAGCGGTGCCATTTGGGTCCCCGTGGAACCGCCTTGGTGAATTAAGCAGGAAGGGGAAGCGAGGAGCCCTGGGGAAGTGTGAGTGTCCCTGATGGAGGAAGCCAGGGATGGATGCACTGAAATTCCGTGCAGGAAAGTTTCGCCTCGGCAGACTGAGTGTCGGAAAACAAAAACAGGCCCCTTTGTTGTGTTTTCTGAGACAGTGCTGGCGCACGTTACAGCCTTGCAAAGGCAGCCGTCGGCCCGGGGCCTGTCAGACACAAAGTCTGCACCAGCCTCTGAGACTGGCAAGTGTTTCCTCCTGCACAAGCACGGGAAGAATTTGTCCAAGGAGGTGCCGTGGAGGAGAAGGGGGACCCTCGGCGGAGACCCCCATTGGCATGGTACATCACCTGCGCATTTCTCACAATCAAGAGACCTAGAGAAGGGCTGGAGCCATAGCACAGGGTAGGGCATTTGCCTTGCATGCGGCTAACACGGGTTCGATTCCCTGAGCACTGCCAGGAGCAATTCCTGAGTGCAGAGCAAGGAGTAACCCCTGTGCATTCCCGAGTGTGACCCAAGAAGAAAAAAGAAAAAGAAAAAAAAAAAGATACCTAGAGAGCATTCACCAGAGCAAAGGTAGCCAGCAGGCTAGAGGTGAGGTGCTGAGAGCACAGGACGTAGACTCTCGGAGGCGTGCTCCCAGGAAGAACCCCCCGAAAAGGGAAACTGCGTCTGAGAGCAGCAAGGGTCACACTTTCTGGGCGCTTAGGTGTCCCACGCGTGGGTATCCTAAGCACGTGCCCATGAGCAGGTCTCCTACACGCTGCTTGGGTCACCTCCGGGTCCATCTGTCCACTGAGCTGGCCTCCCTCCAGCCACAGTCACGCCTGCTGACATCACTTCCTGCCTGCAGGGACTGCGCTGCCCCCGGCTGAGGGAGCCAAGGACTTGGCAGTGCCCCTGCTTGGCCTCCCCATGCCCGTCCTGGCGTCCCTTCTAGTCGGCTGACTCCTCCGGTGACTCATCCGGTCCCCAGCTCCCTCTGGTCCTTCGTGCCTTTGGACGAATTTTATTATTTTTTTTAAATGTCTTTGGGAGGGAGTGGAAGTTGGGGGTCACACCCTTCGGGGCTCAGGGCTGACTCCTGGCTCTGTGCTCAAGTGAGAGCTCGGAGAGTATATGTGGAGCCGGGGATTGAACTGGGCTGGCTGTATGCAGAGCGAGTGCCATTTCCCCCTTTGTGCGCGCTCTCTTCTACCTCCCCCCTTTCCCGGTCTCTCTCCCCCCCTCTTTCCCTTCCTCCCTCTCTCTCTCTCTCTCTCTCTCTCTTTCTCTCTAGTCTTGCTAATGGCTTTTTCTCTTTCTTCCTCCCCTCACTCTCTCTCCCTCTGTCTCTCTCTCCCTCCCTCCTTCCCTTTCTCCCCCTCTCTCCTTCTCTCTCCTTCTGTCCCTCTCTCCCCCTATCCCTCCCTTTTTATCTCCCTCCATCTCTCTCTCCCCCTCTCCCAAACGAGCCCCTCTACACTGCCACCTGGCCCAGGTCAGCTGTGATCCTCCACTTCCTTGGCACCTCTGAGCAGCAGGTTACGACAAGAAGCAGGGGGACCCTGGGCCAGCAGGTAGGACAGCCCCGTGGCTGGGTTGTGGGGACGGTGATGTTCTCTCCTCCACCCGCACTGTAGACCCCGTGGCTTCCGTGGCTCAACATCAGCTTCCCATCTGCAAAACGGGCCAGAGTGTGTCTGTGGCTTGTGGTGGCTAAAGGTTCCCCATTTGCCAGCTGTCATGTGACACGGGCTGGAGAAAGGGCTCGGGGGAGGCCCTTGCCTTGCACACAGCCCCCTCTGGTTCCATCCTCAGCACCACAGATGGCCCCCATCATCGCCAGGAGTGATCCCGGGGCACCTGTCAGTGGGCCCCCAAGCCAACAGACCCGATCCAAACCCACAACCCACACCACAGAGAGCAGCCCCTGGCGCCTTCACCGGTGCCCTCCAGAAGCTCCCAGCCTGGGAGCCCAGTGCAGCCTTCACTCCGCTTCCTCGACTGCTGGCCCGGCTGTCAGCCCCACCCCCCACCGCCCCACTGCTCTGCCCCAGTTGAGGTCCTGTCTGCATCCTCAGCGCCTCTGCTTCCCAGAGGGCAGGACCACGTCCTACAGCGATGCCCGCTCTCCAGGACCCAGCACAAAGCCTGGCACTTGGGCACACGCAGACTGGGCTGCCTGCATGGAGGCGCAGGGAGCTGGCACGTGTCCCTCTGTCCCGGGCCCAGGAGGAGCCCGGAGGCGCCTGCATGGCTGGGACCCTGGAACCAGAGGCCGTGGCCCCCCCAAAGCAAGCGTGTAGGAGAATCGCTCAGCAGATTGGAGCGGGAGAGACCGATCAAAGCCAGGCTGGAAGGGGGTCTGATGCACGTTTTGCTGGTGCGCTGGCCTCGAGGGCCATGAGCCATGTTTGTTAGGGCCCACGGTTGTTCTGTCGTCGGAGACAGCCACTTATGGGCTCCGGAAAAACGCGTTAGGTTCCAAATGCCTCCCCTGCCCCCTAGGAGCCTCGGAGCCCGCTGTGCCGCCCATGGCCACACGGTGGCAGTGTGTGCATGCCACAGGGGAGGGAAGGGGCTGGCGGTGTCCTGCTCAATTCAGAATTCTGAGACCGAGGTTAATGAAGTGCCCTTGGTGAGGTTTCTTTTTTTTTAATTTTCTTTCTTTCTTTTTTTTCTGTCTTTTTCATGAACTTCATTAAAACTCCCTTCGCCCTCGAGGGTGGCCTGGTGTTCGTTAGCTGCCGTTCTAGGTGAAGGGGGGTTCCAGGGACAAGTGGCCCCGACTCGTCCTGCTGTGGACAGCCCAACAGGGTCCGCTTGGGGGTGGGGCTCCCCGCCCTCCCCAAGGGAACCCGCGGTTGCCCCTGAGCCCCCACCCCTGCCTCTCTGGGTCCTGTGCCCCGTTGCGTGGATGCATGTCCACTCCTCAGAGGGGTCGAGACACCCAGGATGAGAGTGGAAGCCCCTGTAATTGGAACAACTCTTGTCAGGGGGCAACACCATGAATTCTCCCTGCAGCACCCCTGCCCCCGGACACACAGCTGCCAGGGTCTCAGTTGGACTCTGGGGTTCTCTTTGTTTGCCTCTCTTTTTTTATTTCTAGCCTGAAAAATGCTTCTGTTAGCATTCATGGCTATTTTCTTTTTTTTTTTTTTTTTTTTTTTTTTGCTTTTTGGATCGCACCCGGCGATGCACAGGGTTTACTCCTTGCTTATGCACTCAGGAATTACTTACTCCTGGCGGTGCTGGGGGACCATATGGGACGCTAGAAATTGAACTGGGGTCAACTGCGTGCAAGGCAAACGCCCTTCCCCTTCCCGCTGTGCTATCACTCCAGCCCTTCATGGCTATTTTCAAGTGATCTTGGGGGTGTTGGACCACACCTGTAGTGCTCAGGGCTGGTCAACGGACCAGGGCCAGCGCATGCCAGGCAAGTTCAGCCTTGTCCTATCGCTTTGCCCCAATAGCCCTTTACGATTTTTGATTTGAGTTTTATGTGCGATTGTGCCTCCCAGTGACCCCGACTTTCCTGAGGCCCCCTGAGGTCTTGGCGGTGGCCCCAGCTCTGTCTCCACCCTGCGTCCCCGTGCCGCGGAGTAATTGCCTCATGTTTGGGGAATGGCGTCTCGTGAATTTAATCATGCCTCTGTTAGAAAGATAAAATACCATTGCGGGTTTTTAGCCTTAATCAATTTGCATGTAATCTGGCTTCCAAGGCCAATATAATTAGGTGCTTATCTGTTTGGAGAATTACAGACGAGGCTTGAGCTGAAGCTGAAGTTAATTGAATTTGCCTTCTGACCTATGGGGAATCTTGTGCTTTGGGTACTCGGGTGGAGAAGGGAGTGGGGGTTCCCCTTCTGCTGGGGGAGATAGCCATGCCCCCCCAACCCCGCGACCTCTGTGTGCCATGCTCCTTGACGAGATTCTCTTACACCCACACCAACCTAGGATCCCTGGCTGACTTTAGCCCCTAGAGTTTTGGAGGGATTATTATTATTATTATTATTATTATTTGGTCACACACTGGCTCTGTGCTCAGGAATTACTTCTGGTGGTGCTTGAGGGCCCCTATGGGGTGCTGGGGACCAAACCTGGGTCAATAGCGTGCAAGGCAAGGGGTATTCTCACTGTATTATCTCTCCACCCCCTCCTTACTTTGGTTTTTAGGGCTCCACCTGGTAAGACGCTGATAAAACTACAAGAAAAATAGAAATGTAGACAGCCCCATCAAAAATGGGGAGAAGAGATGAACAGAAACTTTCTTGAAGAAGAAATTCAAACGGTCAAAATGCACATGAAAAAGTGCACTTGTAACTCAACTGGGAGATGCAAATCAAAACAACGATGAAATGTCATCTTACAACACAGGGTTTTTGGCACATATCAAAAAGAACAGCCAGGGGCTGGAGCAATAGCTCAGTGGATAGGACTTTTGCCTTGCATGCAGAGTTCGATTCCCGGCATCCCA